CTAACCTCAAAAAACAGGTCAAAAATAGCAAAAATTCACGAAAAAGTGCTAGGAAAAATACAAAATTTTTTTTTTTCTATATTCAAATGTTCATTTATATGGTTAAGACCCCGCCAAACGTGAATCCGCGGTCAAAATTGATGGTTCTTTTTCTAACCTCAAAAAAACAGATCAATTAATGTCAGATACCACGAATTCTCAGAAAATAACAGATTCACGCCAAATTTGGTATACGGGAGTTTCAGGGTCGTTGATCACGAATTCGAGGTCAATTTTGCAAAATTCAAGATGACGGATCCAAGGTGGCCGACTAAGTTTTAAAAAAATAACACATTTGCGTCAAATTTGGTATACGGGGGTTTTCGGGGTCGCTAATTGCAAATTGGAGGTCAGAATTGCGAAATTAATCCCCCGAAAATCCTCGTATACCAAATTTGGCGCGAATCTGTTATTTTTTGAAAATATGGTCGTCAATCTTGGATCCGCCATCTTGATTTTTGACCTCGCATCCGTGATCAGCGACCTCGAAAATCCCGTATACCAAATTTGTCACGAATCTGTTATTTTTTGAAAATTCGTAATATCTGACCCGTTTTTTTAGGTTAGAAATGAACATTTGAATATAAAAAAAATGTATACTTTTCCTAGCACTTTTTCGCGAATTCTTGTTATTTTTGACTTATTTTTTGAGGTTAGGAAATTTCTGTGATGTGATAGCTCAATTCTGACACCGGATTCGTGATCAGGAGGCAAAAATACTACGGATAACATATGTCGCATGAAAAGTACAGACTTTTTTTTTTGTGTGGCTGTGCTATTATTCAGTATACTCGTAAGTATAATAAACAATAAATGCATAATTAAAGTATCGTCTGAAGTTGGAAAAGCTATTTTTTTCTAATCATATAGTTTTATGTTCAATTTGATTCAAAATGAATTGTACTACTGAGAGCGAACGCAGTCTAGCAACTTGGCATTCACTTCGTTGATATGAAAAGTCAAGCAACGCTAATCGCTGTTAGTACTTGGATGGGTAACTATCCGGAGAAGGCTCGCGATGCTTGTCCACCTTCTAGTGGACTGTATGTCGATGTATTCACAGAAGCCATACAAATTTAGGCGAGGTTTGTATAGGAAGACATATTATCCTTCGGAAAGTATATAAAACAATTTTAGGTAAGTAAAAGAACCCTATCCCACGACAAAGTGGAGCTTTGGGAAAATTACCAGGTTGGGGGTTGCTCGCCTTCTGGCGTCTGTGTTTTGCCATAGTAGTAGAAATAGGTCGATGAAAACTAACCGAAAAGGAAAAAGCAAAACTATACTACTGTTCAGTCGAAGTGAAACACTCAAAAACTGAGATGAATGAGAAGATGAATTGAAAGATGTGTTATCTCTAAATTATAAGATGCCATTTTTAATTTTTTTGTAAAGTATTTATCAGGCTTCAAAATAGCGTGTTGTGTATAAACTTCAAAAATGGCCATACTTTTATACGAGGTGATCAAAAATTTTCCTTCTGTCATGTATTTATTTTGTAAACAAATTACTCTTGTATCATTGCTTTATCTCAATAGACCAATTAGTAGTAACGTCACATACGCCAAATAATAGACACATTGCACACAATGCACAATGTCATATGTACTTTGGACATAAGCGCCAAAAAAATGTATTCTTTGTCATTACCTTAAAAATCGCGATGTTCTGACAATATTAGAAATATTTAAATTTCAAACCCCAAGTGACAAACTAATATTTATATATTTAAATTTATAGAACACTATTGACTTTTACAGTAATTAATAAATTAAAATTGTATCGATGTTACTGTTATCGCATTAAAGATAATTGCATCTAAGCGAAGTAGCCTCACAAGAGGGTATCATTCAAGAAAAGTTTGGTTATGATTAAGAGTATGTCTATAATAAACCACTTGAATAAAACACTCGATAAACACACTGATCCAGTGCAACAAGAAAAATAATAAAAATAATTGGTAGAACTGGAAAATGCCAAGATTAAACAAAAAAAGAGGAAATACGCTAATGATGAAAGCGATGACGAATCAACATCTCACCTGCGTATGAGGTTATTCTTACCGAGCATGCGCATTAGGGATAACACGGTTAATGTTAAATTTTTACTTTATTTAAATTTTTAAGCACATTAATGTATCTATTTTACGAAATTGGTTGTTTTTAAATACTTGTAAATCCTTGTAAAAATATATTAATTTGAAGTTGTTAATTTTTATAGTATCTATGTAAATAGTACACAAGGGTCAGATTCGGTCTGTACAATTTCAACTATGATATTTTGTTGCGGGTTGCCTAAACATGTGCCGTCGCACTAAAAATGTCTATTATAAAGAAATATATTTAATACGTATTTAAAAAAAATAGTTTTATTAAAATAATTTATACATAAGAGTAAATTTAAGCTCGTAACAAATAAACTCAATATGTTTATCCTATCACAATTACCTCCTGGTATTGACAACGCATACTATTGATACAATTATAAATTTAATCATATTGTTGATTTTCGATTAAATAACTTGTTCTAACTAATCAATATTTTGCGTGGCTACCGTTATATTTACGACCCATGAATACAACAATAAACCTTAGAAATTTGCATTTACGTTAATATTAGAGATAAATTGATCGTTAAAAAACATATTTTGTTTACAAATCAGCCTTCTTTAAATTAATAGTAACAGATCCTACCTGAAACGGAGAAAAATGAAGCGTTTTAAAAAATAGATGAAATATACAAAAATTTTGAAGGCATATCTATCCATAGGAATAAGGTTCCTAGATTTGCCAAGTACCTACCGCAAGCGATTGTTTTCATCCTGCCTAGAATAGCGGTTTGACAAATAATATCACCAAGTTTAGCTGCTATTATGTCAAATGACTCAAGATATAATTGTTTGTACTATTAATTAAGGTGTTTCTCTTTTAACCATATACGTATTAAAATTATAATTTATATCCTATAAAATTATATTCAAGATTCAATCATGTATTTCAAAGATGGCAATAGAGAATTTGCCCCAAAAGGGTGGATGATAACGGTCCTTTATCAATCTAAGAACTTTGCATAGGAATAAGAAGAAATGACGCTTACACGATAATTTCTAAATTACATATTTTCCAGATTGCCTCAATTTTTTGGGTGTTCCACTTCAACTGAAGAGTAATTTCTAATGTAACAAATTATTAATTACTTTTTAGTTGCTTTTACAAGGCATGCACATGGATTTTATTCAAAATTGTCCGTGTCAATTTACTTTAGTTCATTTAAACATGCTCCGTTGAAATTAATTTAGGTTAACGTTTTAATAAAAAAAATATGACACTTTTATTTTCATCTAAAGAGACGCAAATAGAGGCGAATTTTTTAAATTTGGCGACGGATCCATCGAGTGTTTTTTCTAATTTCTAATGTACGAGGGGGATGTATAATTTGACGGATGCGCATTTTCAATCAGTGAATTAAAAAACTTGTCCTAGCATTACCGCCTTAAGAGAATAAAAAAATGTCACTTTCGTATCGGTTAAGCCGTCATAGAGACCATACCTCGGCATATATAAGTAGAAAAACGCTATAATTTGATTGGTATAATAGTGGCAACTCGATCAGGCATAACCATTAGAAAGTTCTTATTTAACCCTTTAACCTTTTAATCTTGGACTCCACAACCTCGACAGTGGCCTCTTCACGTAACTAGCATTCCAATTTCCAGTTTTTCTCTTCTGATGAGTAAACAGCGCACTTTTCGCACTACCACAATACATGTGCAGAAGCACTTCTTCTTTCGCCTGATGGAACCTTTACAGACTGCCAATATTACTCAGATGTTACTACAGTCTACAATGCCCAGTTAGATGTCTTATCTATATCCTTATTAATGTACGATTTTGGATCAGTAGGTCCCCCGTAAACATCTTAGGTAGTCCTCCATTACTCATGATCCTTCATTATACCTGCAGTTAATAATGGAAGGTTCTAGTCTCTGTACGGCTCTAGATGAGTTTAATCTGGCTAAGTCATCAGCGGTCTCGTTATCCAGCCGCCTTGTAAGTTAGACACATAATTCTGGCTTTCTAGATTTATCAAAGCACCCAAACAGTTTCATACTAGTGATTGATGCAAGAAAAGAGTGATAAGACATAATGTTCTTTCTATCTCTTCCTATCTCATCCTTTCTATTAACTCCATTGCACGGTATTCAATAAGCATCATTTTGCATCATATATGGAGAGTAAAATAATAAAAAAGGATTGCTTTGCAAGATATTAAGAGTGAAAAAATTCGACTAATCAATTAAGGCAGACACTTTTCCAGTTTCTATGTTTGGTTTCAATCCCTAAAGAGGAAGTGAGCAAAATAAAATAAATATTATGTATCTCGGGCATCGATGGATGTGGGTAAACAAAACACATCAATATGTCAGATTTATAAGCTTCTAACATAAGGTTCTGCGTGGAAAGCTGGCAAACGCCGGTAGTATCAGATAAATTGTTTTACCTTTTCAAGTGCGAGTTCCAGTTTCAACACGAAAACGTTTTTAGGGGATTGCTATTTCCTCATTATAATTAGTCGCTTATGAGGAAATTAAATTTACTGCTTAAAATACTGCAATATCGGAGTATTTTAAAAAATTTCTTTAAACATTTTCGGTTTATGCTATTCCGGTTACATTTCTCAACAATGCCATCGTTTAAAAATACCTTTAAGTCAGTTCTTACAGGTACATTTACTATTTACTTAGTTCAATTTTATACCTCTTCAATAGGGATGTAACTTGATCAATTAAAAAGTTACAATCCTTTAGGTAAGATTTATTTTAATAAAATATCTATGTAATTAAATTAGAGCAATGTAGCAAGTTCTCCTTGAGAGTACTGTATGAATTTACGACAATAGAAAGAAAAAACGAGTAGCCGCTGACACCAAGCTTGGAACAAACAAAAACAAAAAATACTCACAGTCACAGGGGCGGTATGTGACGTCTCAGGGGTGGGTATTTTACGGGATAGACCTGGGGATGAACCAAGACTTTCGGTTCCACATTTTCTCCACGGTATTTGACCACTAAAACAAAAAGCATACATTATTTAATGAATTTGTGATGCATGTATTTAATGAAATTATTTTAGTCATTCTATTCTATGAAATCTTTTTGAAATGATATTCAGATATTCAGGAAAACCAAAAATATAAATTTACAATTGTATTGTACATGAAATGACAAATTTTAGAAATAATTAATTTCTATATATTTTCTATATATTTCTATATTCTAGTAATTTAAAAAAATGTAAGTAATACATGTATATGTTGTATCTCACGTAAAATTTTCGAATTACATATTAATTCTACAAAAATGTTTATTAATTACTACAGGGACATTTTAGTGATAGTGTAGTTAGGACAAAGTGCATTTATACAAATATACAGGAGAATGATTTAGGTAGGGTAGGCGAAATTCTAGCTGAGTAAAACTGGCAAGATATCCCATTTGCGTCACCTTTTATTTTCTAGGTTTTGGGGTAATTTCACAAAGGACACTAAAGCGGGGGATGCGGACTAGTAAATCATGTCAGCGGCAGTTTATGTTTATGACAAACAGGAAAGTTTATCTCAAACGCTTTAAGTGAGAGTGGTTAGATACGTGGGTATATCATAATTAAAATTGTTGTAATAAATAGTATGCTCAGGGTATTTTTCAATATATAATTATTCTCTGCCTCAGAATTTATAAGCATTTCATATTTTTAGTGTAACTTACGTAGCTAACATGTAACAATTCTGGAATATTTTAAATTTCAATATCATTCAAGGGATATTTTTCATAACATGAATCACGTTGATTAATATTTTAATATAAGTATTGTTATTAAACATTTCAAATATATACAGCGTGTTTTCCTTTATTCTGCATACCCCCTAATAGCTGCTCTTTTTGGAGAAAAAAAAAATGTTAAAAATAAAAGATGTAATAAATTAATTTCGCATTCATTATTTTTTATATTTTTACATATTAAGATAAAACACATTCTTATGACTATAGAGATGTGAGATTTAAGGTGGTATTTACATGAAACCCAACCCAAAAATAGATCCCGACTTTTTTTATGTAAAGTAAATTGAATTCATAATTCAATAACAAAATAGGAAAAAAAATATTTTTTGTTTTAACACCTTCAAGATAAAAAAAAAAATTGAAAAAGAACCCCACACAAAATCAATGGAAAATGGGTCCTAGTTGATTTTGCAGTATGTTATAGTTTTTGACTTTCTGATCAAGTTGTCATGGGCCCAAAGTGATCCTATGAAGAGTTTTGAGATCGCTGAACCTGAATTCGGGGATAGCTTAGCTATCTAAGATCGCCTGGAGGTCAGGTAAAGGTCGCTTCAAAGTCAAACTGAAGGAAAGACTTGTATTGAATTTTGACTAGTGAGTGTATAGGTTTCTGGGCTCGCAGAATCTGAATCTGGAGATAGCGTAACCCTAAAGGTCACTTTCAACTCAATTCAAGGTCGTTTCAAGATCAAACTAAAGAAAAGGCTTATATTGAATTTCAACCATTGTTTATATAAGTTTTTTTTGAGGGGAACTGAATTCGGGGATAGCTTAGTCCTATAAGGTCACCTAGTAATCAAGTCAAGGTTATTACATTTGACTTAGTCTCAATTCAAGCCCCACAGGTGACATAAGAATATTGGGTGATTTTGAGGTTAGGCACAAACGTTTAGAATACACCAAAAATATGGGTAGATATGTTTTTAGCGGGCCAAAATACATTAGAATAAGCCCTGTCCGTAATTTTTTTACCACCTCTACTACTTTTTGTCACAATGGTGACTTTCTCGAAGTTTGCAACCTTACCGGTTCGCCATCTTTTTTTTTTTTAATGGCAACAGCTCAATAAAAACTACACTCGATATCTACCAAATGAACCCGAAAATAATTTTTAAGTTGTTTCAATTTTTGGACAGATGGGATGGCCGTTTTGACAAAGAATGACCCACACATATTTTTTTCTAACGGATTTGGATAGAATATCTTCTTATGATTACAATGACATACAAGTTTGATAATTCTTATAGTGAGGGGAAGATACAACCAAAGGAAACAATATCCATACAGCATATTTGGTCACATTATCCATACTATTACATAGCTTCATATCAGTGGTCTATCAAATATTGTGAAAATATAGAGGTTGCTGTATTAAAAACACCAGCCACCTTTTCTACGTTCAGCTCTTTGAAGTGATACAAAATTCTGCAATCTCAGAAAAATTCGTGTGACTATTTGATTTCTATTTCTGAAAGAATAATGGCTTTGACGGGAAATATACTGTACAATGCTTAACATTTATCAAATAGTCTTATACAGGGTGTTCAAAAAAGTTCTCTACCTTTAAGTTCCGAACTAAGCTTCACCAAAATGTCATTGGATAGTATCGATTCGGATATATTAAAAAAAAATTAACAATATGTCACGTTATTAAATAAATTATACAAGGTAAAGAACATATTTCTGAAATTAGAAACATTAGTAAAAGATATATTGAACAAATAAATATTTTCGTTATAATTTGATAGGTATGTCATATATCTAGTAAAAATTGTTCAAAGTCAGAAGATTAAGAAAATCAACTCTAATAACATTTTTCTTTGCCTAGGGTCACGAAGGAAATAAAAATAAATTCATTTCCTGACAATGTGGCAGGAGCACCAACGGTACTTTTCTTAGATGTGCATACCGGTCGCCTCTAGACCTCCCTATTGGGATTGTAAATATACAAGGCAATTTGTCTGAGATGACGCAGTGTAAATGGCACAGCACAATACTGACTAAGACCTTATATACAGGAAGATTTATCTTGGAGAAATGTTAAAAAGCGCAACAAGGTAATAAAAAATACATATGCCAGAAACCCTCATGAATGTCTTTCTTATTTGCCTAAAATTATAATGATGTTCCATTATTCACTATTTCAGAATCGTTGTCTCGACGTATACAGGGAGTCCAGGAAATGGTGACAATTTTGAGGATATCGGTAGGAATTGCAAAAATGACACCATAAATTTACATATTGAAAACAGCAGATTTTTCGTGGTAGTTTTTTGTTTTTCGTGAAATTTCGATAAATTTTTGGTAAGAGCTAGATTATTGGAAGCTGCTTCAAATAAAGTGTTTAATTTACCTCCAGCTACTTTGGGAGCGCTATCAAAACTGTTGCCCCTCCTCCCCTCAACTCCCCCCCCCCCCGCAACAAAAGGAAACATAAAAAATCTGAGAGACTGCCCCTACTATTTCTTGGACACCCTGTATATGTTGGGACAACGAATCTATATTACTATGTAGTATGTATGATAGAACGTGTATGAAGATAATGAAATGAACAACCAAAAATCAAAAAAAGAAATTACATGTCTGTATTGAGAATTAGAGTAAACTTTTGGTAGTTCTTAAACCCTTAGTATCTTTTACGATACCATGCGGTGATAATATTAGGGATTATAAAAAAAGAATCTTGCTTGCATTTTTAATCTGATCGACATTTCTAAATTATCAAAAGTCTGTAAACAATAAATGTTCTGGAAGACATACTAACAATGTACCTATTTATGTTATCTATTTCTATTCATCAATTTACAAATATAATTACTTCATAGAATGGTTTGTAGAACAGGTAAGAAATATAGTAGGCGTAGTCTTTGCTGTCTATTAAAGTACCTCAAATTTGTAGTTAGCACAGTTTCAATATCGTTAATAGGTTAATATAACTTGTAAGTTTATAGCTGATACCTGAAACTATCGTTTGTCAGCAAAGTTTGAATAATTAGATAATTAAGTTTAGGTTAAATATGTATGTTGCCATATTTAGTATGGATAACCAATTAGAGTTTTGGTAGATGTCTATTAAATTACATAGTTATAACATAGAATTACATAGTTATAACAGTACCTATACGAAAAATGCCAGAAAAATTTTTATTCCAGTGGCGCACGTAATTTGTTAGGAAAATCTACACCTGGTTTGAGCTGATACTTATTTTCACGTTAAATGTACACACAAAATTTCGTTTAACTATATCGAGGAAATTACTTTAAAAATGAAGAATTTGAGAGTATATGTTTATACAGGATATGCTCCTTTATTCTTGGCATCTTGTAGTGTTACAGGGTGTATACCTTTTTAAAAAAAATTGAGCGGTTTTTCACTATTGACCTTGTTTAATTACATAAATAAGGTTATTGATTGAAAAGGAATAACATTTGATTAAGGTGTATTCGACTCGGTCTAGTTATTTTGAACTAATAATCTCTCATTAGGGCGTGTAGCATTTTTAATCAAATTCCTGTATAAATACATATACAGGGTGTTAATTAAGTATGTGCACATACTTCAACAGAATCTTTGAATGAGTTTAAGCTAAAAAGGTTTTGTAAACATATGTATTGTAATGAAAAAAAAATATTTTCTAAAATAGCTCTGCTGTTGAAAGATGAAACTTAGCCTAAGTATTTATTTAATTAAAAGTAAAAATCTACTGAATTCAGATATAAATTCATACAGTTCATCAGTGGCAGAGATACCGGAAGTTACTTTTACATAAAACTCCAGAAATTCGGCTAGACGTTTTGAAATTCAAAAAATCAACCATGATCGACATATTTCTTTATTTAGTTTTCATTAACGTTATCAAACACTCCAGAAAACGTAATTTAACTGTTTGTCGTTTGTCAAAAAAATTCTTGAGATTATTTTGATAGAAATACGAGTACAATTTTCATCTTTCAACATCAAAAGTTTTTGGAAAAGGCGATTTCAACACCCTGTATCTCAAAAATTATCGATTTATAGATGCTTTTAGGTGTAAAATCACTCAAGAAGTCACTCATTAAATCTTAAACATATACTGAACACCCTGTGGTCCCACACTATGGTGTATAACTATAACCATTTACTCCAAATCCCACAACGTTTTTAAGATAAATTTCTGCTGTCTGTATTCTCATATAGCTTCAGTTTCATTTGTAATTCATATAACTACAAACTGATAAACAAAGTGAAATGCTCTGAAACTGCATTCTTAAAAGACATTCGAGCCAGCCATTTCGGTGTCAGCGTCGTTTTACTCAGAATTACGGTGGAAACAAGACAGGCGCAGTCATTTATTTTCATTTGCTGATGCCACCTGTCATATACATTTCACGTGCAACAGTCCAAAGCGCTATTTTATCCGCAGCATTTCCTAAAATGGCATCAAGCAATTTACCTGAAATTCTACCTTGACAGTGGTATGTAATTTAAATAATCTGGATAATCTGGAGTGATATTTCAGCCTTTAATTACCCGTCGGAAAAAACTCACTTAAACTTAATTGCTATCTATAATACTCATCTGCTGAAAGTAAACGAACTAGGATTTGTAACACTTGTTTATTTTTGATGTGTTGTAATAATATGAATCAATATATATTTTATTATGAAATGAAACTATCGTGGTTGCTTTGAATCAGACCTCAGCTGTTTACACGGAATGCGCCAGCCAAGTATTTATGTGCCCTTGAGATAATGTAATTTATTAGTATATACAGAAATGTAGCTCAGAATGCCGAAACAGAGAGGGTGTTCTTTGAGACAGTGGTGCCTGGCCAGCGCCCGAATGAGGTCGATTATTATATCTGTGTATCTAGCTTGAATACATTTGTTTAATGAATTGTGAATTTGTGAGTAATATGCCATACTCGTTTATGTTTATGAAAACCCCATGCGCGCGGTGTTCCCGGCCTAATTAGAGGCTGTGGTCCCTTCGAAGTGTGCCTTGTAAGTTTGTTTATATGGGGTCTTACATGCGCTTCGATTGACACATACTGGGTGGTGTTGAGTAGGTGGCATAATAATAATAATAGTGTGACTCACACACCCGGTAGTTGGGATGCTTACTAGTTGGCGTCCGGGGGAGCCTCGACTCATTTCAGGTGACACTAGCTAGTTGTTGAAGAAATAATGATAGATATTTACTAATTGATATAATGGAGACGTATGGAAGGATATACCTTGAATCCTAAGGTTAGGGGGAGTGAAACCCCCCGGTGAGTTACCTATTTATTTGTTTTTATTGACAGAACAGTAATTTTGTTATTTGTTTCATATACCCTCTTAATTTCTGACGAATGACCCGGCTGTTGTCGAGATAACTGCTTTGTGATGACCCATGTATCGAAGGTAACAATACCAACAATAACATCTGTTTTACAGATTATTACATTAATTGATTAAAATAAATAACAGTGAGTTAAATAATAATAATATTAATTACTTAAAATCAATTATACCTAAATTTCTTACCAAGTCCAGCAGAGTTGCATTTGTAGGACAAACAGATTGTGGGTACACATGTTCGCAAGTGACCCATTTTTAAGCATTACGTCAGGAGCGCCAACAGATGCTTGCTCATATACATACGACCGACTCCACACACGGGGACTCTCCAACGAATACTCACCCCGTCAACACGTCTTTTTCTATACAACTTAGTTTTCAATAAAATACTTTATTATTACCGTTGAGAGACCGTTTTATTCTTGCTGTACAGCGAAAGCAACCCTCAAGACTAATAGTAAACTTTATCAGCAAATTAAGCAAATAAGGGGTAATCAAAATACAAATTCAATTTTTCACAACAGTAAAATGTAGGCTTAAAACCAATAATTGTTAGGGACATCCTATATTAGATATTTATTTGACTAAAGACGCTGAGAAAGCTGATGCGCCGACTAGCCCGAGGTGTGATGTTAATATAAACACTGATAAAGAATGAATGCCTTCTACCCTGTTTTAGTCGAACCCTAATACGGTTCCTATATATTTTATAAAA